CCATGAGCATGCAGCCTCCGGCAGGAAAACCAGCTTATTAACTGAGTCAGGCCCCAACTAGGCCCTCTGGCTCCTGAACCCCATAACACCCCCTTCTTCCCTCCCCAAAGTCCTGATTTAGCAGAGTCGAGGTAGAGCTTAGAAATCAGTGTTGGTTGGGCTTGGGTGCCACAGTGCTACTCCCAGCTCAGTGCTCAGGGGACCCGGTGGTGCCAGGGATGGAACTTGAGGTTCCCACAGGAAAACCTGTGCTCCAGCCTTCAGAGCTACCTCTCGGGTTTTACGGATCAGATTTCTTTTGCGTGGGGTGGGGTGGGGACAGGGTTTGGGTCACACTCAGGAATGCTCAAGGCTGACTCCTGGCTCTGTGCTCAGGGATCACTCCTGGCAGGGCTCGGGGTTAACTGCGTGCAAGGCAAGCGCCCTCCCCACTGTCCTATTGCTCCAACCCCAGGAATCAGATTTTTTAATTTTTATTTATTTATTTAGCTTTTTGGGTCACACCCGGCAATGCACAGGGGTTACTCCTGGCTCATGCACTCAGGAATTACTCCTGGCGGTGCTGGGGGACCATATGGGATGCTGGGAATCGAACCAGGGTCAGCCGCGTGCAAAGCAAATGCCCTACCCGCTGTGCTATTGCTCCAGCCCCCCAGATTTTTTGAAATTTTTTTTGGGGGGGTCAAACCCAGCGGTTCTCAGGCGTTACTCCTGGCTCTGCACTCAGGAATTACTCCTGGCGGTGCTCAGGGGACCCTATGGGATGCCAGGTCAGCCGGGTGCAAGGCAAATGCCTACCCGCTGTGCCATCGCTCTGGCCCCCAGGAATTCATATTCCTAAAACAGGGAGGAGGAGCAGCCTCTGAAGAAGTCAATGGGAGAATCAGGAAATCAGGCTGTGACAGCAAATGAATGACCCCAGCGACCTACCGGTGGAAGGAGCAACTTGCTGGCTTTCCCGACGGTCCCAGTCACAGAAGGCTCCCTGACCCTCCTCGCCTGGGTCCCTCCCTCCCCACAGAACCAAAGCGGACTTTAGCCAGGCCCAGATCAGAGTCCCAAGTCTGCCCTTTCCCCCTGGGCGCGGCAATGGGGCTGAATCAGCGCTTGGGGTACCTTCATTGTTTTTTTCACTTTTCCCCCTCCATTGTTATATTTTTCGGGGGGGGGGGGGAGGTGGCCCACCCCCCAGTGATGCTCGGGACTTCCTCCTGCCTCTGTGCTCAGGGATCACTCCTGAGTGGGAATCAGGGGGTGCCAGGAATCGAACCCAGGTCAGCCAGGAGCAAGGCAAACCTTTCATCTGAGCCAAGGCTCATGCCAGGGGCGGGTAGGTAATGGGTTTTGGCAACTCTGTGGAATTATGGATCTGGGGCTGTGGTCAAGGAATTCAGGCTAACATCTTAGGGTTTAACATCCCCCACCCCAAAACACACACACTGCAGGGACCCTACCCCCTTAGCACTAAGCTGAGCAGCCCGGGTGCTGAGACACCTCCCCCCCCCACACACCCAAACTTTCCTCCAAGACCCGCTTTTCTTTTTTGTTTTTGGCTTTTGGGTCACACCCAGCGATGCTCTGAGCTCAGGGATCACACCTGGTGATGCTGGGAGAACCCTATGGGATGCCAGGGAATCGAACCCGGGCCAGCCGCGTGCGAGGCAAACGCCCTACCCACTGTGCTATCACTCCGGGCCCCCAAGACCAGCTTTATCTCCACCTTTCAGCTTCTGTGCAGAAAAGCCTGGTTCCCAGCGACAGAAGGCAGTTCCCAGAGTCCCGCAGAAATCTGCGGGGTGAAGGCATGTGGCCTCGGGGACTGGGACCTTTCACCCTGGCTAAAGATTAACAGCAATGCTGACACACAAACCTGGAAAGTCGCGGATGGCAAGGGAAGGGCATGCCAGGGGAAGTGCGAACGAAGGAGGATGTTTGCCCTCGGTGACGGGGCTCGGGCCAAGCCTGGCTGCCAAAGGGACAGTGACCAGGTGCCAGCGTGAGCCTCACACTGGACTGGCCGTATCTCCTGTCCTTTTTTTCCTGTTTCTTTTTCGCTTCTGGGATCACTCACCAGGAGTGGTGCCTGAATGGCGGGCCAGGAGGAACCCCCTGAGCATCGCCAGGTGTGGCCCCCAAACAAACCAAGAAAAAAAAAGGAAGGAAGGAAGGAGGGAAAAGTGAAGGAAGGTGTCTTGTGGCAGAACATCCTTCTCTTCTTCCCCCCCTTTTTTTAATCTTTGTTTGGCTTTTTGGGTCACATCCAGCAGTGTTCAGGAATTACTCCTGGCAGTGCTCAGGGGACCCTATGGGATGCCGGGGATTCAACCCGGGTCGGCCGGGTTGGCCGCGTGCAAGGCAAACGCCCTACCCACTGTACTGTCACTCCCCTGACCCCTTCCTACATCTGGGAATCAGGACACTGAGAACAGGCCGCGGGTTTCTGTTTCTCTCTCTGCGCCCTGGAAGGAGCGCACGACCTTTCGCTGGCAACGAGAGGTCAGAAATCAGCCGCAGCCATCGGGAAAAGTGAAATATTAAGTTCGGGGATGGAGTGAGCCCGTGCTGAGTTATACAAGGTTCAAAGTCATTCAAGTTTTAGTTACCTATTAATGGGGCAGATCCATCCATAGGTAGCGCAGAATCTGGGGCGGGGGCTTTATTCATTTTTAATTTTGGCTAGGCACAGGACTGGCTCCTGGCTCTGCACTTGGGGGACCCTGTGGGTTGCCGGGGATAGAACCCCGGCCAGCATGGGCCAGGCAGACAGCACCTCCCCCGGCCCTGACCCCAGGCCAACCCCAGGCCATTTGAATCTCCAGAGCCCTACCAGGAGCGATTTCTGGGCAGAGAAAGCCCCAAACCCCTCTGGGTGTGTGGCTCAAAATCAAAAGTGAAAACTCTGGATGGGGCCAGAAAGACAGAACAGAGATTCAGGTACTCGCTTGCATGGGACTGACCCTGGTTTGGTCCCCAGCACCACCCAGGTTTCCTGAGGGATGCTGGGGGGATCGATCCTGGGTTGACCTGCCCTGCTGGACTAGGACCCTGACCTCCCTTCCGAATTTCCCCCTTCCCCTCCCACCCTTACTTCCCCTCTTCTCTTTCCCCCCTTCTCTCTTTTCCTTCCACCCTCCTTCCCTCCCTTCTTCCCTTGCTTTCTCTTTCCTTTTGGTTTTGGGGCCACACATACCATTCCCCACCATACCCCCAGGGGTTCAGGGCCGACTCCCAGCTCTGTGCTCAAGGATCACTCCTAGCAGTGTTCGACGGGGGTGGGGGGCCGTAAGCGATGCCAGGGATCAAACTGGGCTCATTACCTACATGGCCAGCCTTGAGCACCATTATTCTAGTATCTGGCCATCAGGACGTCTTGTTAAGAGACCAGAGCCAGAGTCCAGTAGGGGAGGCCGTTTGCCAGGGCGTTTGCCTTGCATGCAGCTGGCTGACCCGGGTTCAATCCCCAGCAACCCAGTAGGTTCCCCTCGAGCACTGCCAGGGTTGAGCCCTGAGCAGCACCAAAGCGAAACTGAGCAGAAGCAACCTGGCAAACTGGGTTTGGGTGAAGGAAGAGAAAAATCTGGAAGTGCCCAGGCTAAGCCTCCACGAAGAGGGCAGAGAGAGAGAGACAGAGAGAGACAGAGACAGAGAGAGAACTTTGAGAAAAGTTCTAACCCCAGGCTGCAGCTAAGCTGCAGTAAGCTAAACACTCGACTCAGCCATGCCCAGAGCTAGTCTTTGTCCCCTGGGCACAGGGACGGGCAATTTGGTGCAGGAACTGCTAAGTCCAGGGGCAAAAGGGGTGAGTGCAAGGACCGACTCAAACAAACTGGCAGTGGCCTGAGCCACAGCACAATGGGGAGGGCACCTGCCTGGCATGCAGCCTGCCTGGGTTCGATCCCCGGCCCCCTAGACTGCCCCCTGAGCACTGCCAGGAGAGATCCCTGAGTACAGAGCCCAGAGTAAGCCCCGAGCACCCCACGATGTGGCCCCTGAACAAAACAAAAACAAGTACACACAGACACACATGGTCCCCTCACCTGCAGAGGGGGGTGATTTTAGACCCCCACACTCCCGGGAGAGCAGTCTGGAGAGAGGTCCACCCTTCCTGGCTCATGGCTCATGCGCTCTACAGCTCTCATGCTGTGCGACCTCCCGTCATTTCCTCAGCCTCTCTGAGCCCCAGCTCTGTCATGGGCACTTAGGAAGGCGCTGGCAGAACGAACCATGGGTAAAAACGCTCCGAGCCGGGCCGGCTCCCCCCCACCCCCCACCTAGCGAGCAGCAGAGATCTGGGGGGCCGGAGGGGGGTGTGATCGTCCTTGCTGGGGGGCTGTTTCTTGAGCTGGGACGCGCGGGGGGACCCCGGGGGGCAGCGGCGCGGGGCGGCGGCCACGTGGGGGCCCTTCCTGGCCACGAATATGGGGACTCGGGAGCCGCCCCGGGGCCGCGGCGGGCGGGCGCGCGCGGGGGGCGCAGGGGGGCACGGGTCCCCACGGCCCGCCACGGGTGCGCCCGCCCGGCGCGCGGTGACCGGTCCCCGCGGCGCCATCTTGGCGTCGTGTCCGCCGCGGGTGTGGACACGCGGCCCCCGGGGGGACGGCGGGGCGCGCGGGCCGGGGGGCGGCGGCAGCGGGCGCGGGGCGCGCGCTCCGCGGGGGGCGGCCGGGGGGCGGGCAGGGAGGTCCCCACCTCGCTCGGACTCTGGCGGGCCACGCCCGGCCGCCGAAGCTTCCTCACGCGGGGCACGATCGATCGGGGTCCCCCGAGGTTCGGGGTTCCCCCCCTGCCCCGGGTCCGGGGCGCCCCCGGAGCGACCCGGGCGCAGCGGGTCCCCCCTGCGTTCCGAGGTGCTCCCCGCGGCCGGCCTGCACGCGCGCGCGCGCGCGTCCCGGCGCCCCATCCCCCGCCTCCCGGGTCGGTCCCTCCCCGCCGTCCGCCCGGCGCCCAGCGCGATGCCCACCCCCGCCAGGCCCCCCCCCCCCCCACCACCACACACTCACCGTTCCCCGCGGCCGCCGCCTGCACAACCCGCTCAGTGCCGGAAGAGCCGCGACCGCCCCGTCGCTGGGCGGAGCCACCGGGCCCGGCGCGCGCGGGAGGCCCCGGACCCGCCCTCAGCACGCCGAGCCCAGCGCCCCGGCCCGCTCCCGGGACTGGGGCTTGGGGTCAGCCCCTCGCTGCCTCTTGGGACGGGAGCCCGGGGTCTCTGCTCTCGGGCTCAGCTGTTCGGTTCTCAGGGCCTCCTCCCTCCCTGAATGAACCGGGGGCTGGTATAGTCTGCATCCAGCTGTCTGTCTGTCTTCCATACACTCACCTGCGCGACCCTCCACCATCTGTCATCAATCTGCCCGTCTATCCATCCCATTCATCCTTCTAACCCCTGTGTCAATCCATCCACCTATCCACCCAGACTGGAGAGTTCCAGATGAGTCTGTTCGTCAGTTAATGAAACACAGAAGGATGGGCTGGTGGATCACACCAGCGTAGAAGGAAGAGTTCCATCCGTCCATCTGCCCATCAGCCCGCCCCTCCATCCATTCATTCACCACCCCCTCACCCATCCATCCAATCCATCTGTCCCTTCAGTCATGCACCAACCCACCCACATATATATTCCATCCGTCCATCATCCACCCACCCGCCCATCCATCCATCTACCCATTTCATCCATCCATCACTGATCCATCCACCAACCCATCCACCTATATATCAATCCACCCATCCATTCATTCATCTATCCGTTCCATTCCATCCATCCACTTGTCCATTCTCATTCGTCCACCCATCTATTCATCCATCCATCCACCCACCCATCCACCCATCCATCCATCCACCCATCCATCCATCCACCCACCCATCCATCCACCCATCCATCCACCCTGTCCGTTGATCTGCTATATAGGGGAGAGTGAGTGTGTGCCTTGACCCGGTACGATGTCATGGTCATGGTCACGGTCCTCCCGTTGTTCATCGATTTGCTCGAGCAGGCCCAGTAACATCTCCATCATGAGACTTGTTGTTACTGTGTTTGGCATTTTGAATGTGTCTCGGGTAGCTTGCCAGGCTTTGCCGTGCGGACAAGGTACTCTCGGTAGCTTGCTGGGATCTCTGAGAGGGGTGGAGGAATCGAACCTGTCTTGACCTGGCTGGCTGCACGCAAGGCAAACGCCCTACCACTGTGCTATGGAAAATTCAAGAGTCAGAACAGGGGTTGGAACCACAGGACAGTCGGAAGGGCATTTGCCTTGCACAACAACCTGGATTCGATCCTTGGCATCCCATAGGGTCTGAGGATCTCCAGGAGTGACCGCTGAACACAGCACCAGAAGTCAGCCCTGAATATCACTGAATGTGCGCCCCCTCATCGGGGGACCCTATGAAGTGCCGAGGACCCTAAGGGGATCTGGGGATTGAACCCGGGATGGCAGCATGAAAAACAAGTGCCTTACTGGCTGGCTGGGTGGGTGATTGGATGGATGGATCGCTCTGGACCCTGATTTTTTTGGGGGGGTCTGCTGGTAGGGGGGTTTGGATCACACCCAGTGATGCTCAGGGGTTTCTCCTGGCTCTGCACTCAGGAATTACTCCTGGCGGTGCTTAGGGGACCCTATGGGTTGCTGGGGATCGAACCCAGGTTGGCCATGTGCAAGACCAACACCCTCCTTGCTGTATTATCGCTTGCTGCCCCTCCCCAATTCTTTTTGCTGTCCCTGACTCAACCCAATTCTTTGCCCAGCATTCGACATGATCCAGTTTAATTTAAAAAAAAGAATCTTTAAGAAGCTTATTAGCAAGAAGAGAGCAAAGCAAACAAGTAATTACAATAAGTGCAAAAATGTGTTTTTCTGGGGCTGGAGCAATACACAACGGGTAGGGGGTTTACCTTGCACGCGGCCCACCCGGGTTTGATTCCCAGCGTCCCATATGGTCTCCCTGAGCACTGCCAGGAGTAACTCCTGAGTGCATGAGCCAGGAGTAACTCCTGTGTATGGCTGGGTGTGACCCAAAAAGCAGAAAAAAAAATGTGTTTTCTGGTGCAAAATGGGAGTGTTAGAGATACTTTATTTTTGGCTCAGCGCTTCCTGGCTCAGCACTGGGAAATTGCTCCTCGCTGCTCAGGGGATTCTATGGGGATGGAAACCGGGTCTGCCACCGGGCAAGCTAGCTAGGGGGGTGGTCAGAGATACTTTGTATCTGCAGTAGCTACTGTATCACTTTCTCCCTGGCCACCCTAAACTTCAGAGCAGACGCAAAACCGCAGGAATTTGCAACACTTGAACACTTTTTTGGTGTTCCCCCAACTGTCCACGGGTTGGCTGGCCACTCTGTGGCCAGCTGTGTGTGGGCTGTCACACAGAAGAGGCAGAGAGCATTCTGCCCGGGCTGTGTCGCAGGTTCCCTGAGGGGAGGGGGCCTGACCCGGCTCCCGCCTCTGGGGGTTGGGGCGGGGCGGTCAGGAGAGCTGCGGGCCAACCGGCGCCTGGGGCTTCACACGCCTTCGTTTCTGCGCCTCCCATTGGCCAAACCGAGTCCCAAGAGGAGGCAGGTTGAGAGAGACGCTCTGAACCGGCAATGCTGCCAAGTGACACTTTATAAGGCACCGATACAGAGACTGGGAATGTCATGTGGGGTGTGTATATGTGTGTGTGTGTGTGTGTGTGTGTGTGTGTGTGTGTGTAAATCTGTCCTGGGCTTCTTTTTTTGGGGGGGCGAGTCACACACACCAGGCGTGCTCAGGGCTCTGTGCTCAAGAATGACTCCGGGGTGGGGGGCGCGCTCTGGGAATCATGTAGGATTTGAGGGGTCCGACTGGGGTCACTGCAAGGCAAGCGCACTCCCCACTGTACTGTCACTCCAGTTCTGATATTTTCCCTCCCTCCCTCCCTCCCTCTCTTCCTTCCCTCCTTTTTTTCCTTTTTCTTTTCTCCCTGTTTATTTCCTCTTTCTCCTTCCTTCCTTTCATCCTTTCTTCTTTTTCTTCTTCTTTTCTCTCCTCCCTTCGTTTCTTTCCTCTCTCCTTCCTTTCTTCCTCTTTCACTTTCCTTTTTCTTTCTTCCCTTCTTTCTCTTCCTTTCTTTCTTTCTTTCTTTCTTTCTTTCTTTCTTTCTTCCTCCTTCTCTCCCTTCTCTCCCCTCCTTCCCTTTCTTCTTTCCCTACTTCTTAGCATCATAAGTTCTTCTTTTTTTTCTTTCTTTTTGCTTTCAGGTCTCACCCGGCAGTCTCAGGGTTGACTCCTGGCTCTGGGATCACTGCTGACAGTGCTCGGGGACCCAGTGGGATGACGGAGATTGAACCCAGTTAGGTTGCATGCAAGGCAAGCTCCCTCACTGTGTACCATCACGATGCCCCCTATTTTTCTTGGGTTTCTTTTTTCTTTTTCTTTTTTGCACGTCAAGCTCTTCTGTGGAAGTGCCTCCACCCCCCCCCCCCCCCCTTCACTTCATCCTGCTCCAGTGCTCAGTCCAATGCTCAGTTTCATGGTCTCATGCCTGCATGAATTCTGAGTAGCCCAAGCCGGGTCAGATCCTGGGGGCGAGACCTCACCCTGCCCGCTCCAGCCCCGCTGAGGGTCTCCAAACCTGGCCCAGGAGCCAGAAGGGGTGAAAACGAGCTGAAAGATACGAGATCTGGTGACTGACCTGCTCTGCAAATCACTAAGCTTGACCTGCCTCCGGTTCCTTCCCCTTCTGGGAACCACTAAATCCATCCACAAACCCTTGATTATTTATTTTTTTTTCTAGTCATACATGCATTGGAGTCAGATTTCCATCCTGGATTGGCAGGGGCACCACAGCTGAGTGTGCCAAAGCAGTGGAGATGACACAGGAAGAAGACTTAAAAACTCAAGAGTTCATAGGGCGGGGGCTGGAGCAATAGCACAGCGGGCAGGGCGTTTGCCTTGCACGCGGCCGACCCCGGTTCGATTTTCAGCATCCGGTCCCCTGAGCACCACCAGGGTAATTCCTGAGTGCAGAGCCAGGAGTAATCCCTATGCATCGCCGGGTGTGACCCAAAAAAGCAAAAAATAAAATAAAATAAAATAAAGAGTTCTTGGGGCTGGAGCGATAGTCCAGCAGGGAGGGCATTTGCCTTGCACGTAGCAGACCCGGATTTGATCCCCGGCATCCCACAGGGTCGCCCAGCACCGCCAGGAGTGATCCCTGAATGCAGAGGAGTACCCCTGAACATCACTGGGTGCATCTCCCCCACCAAAAAAAAAAAAACCCAAAAAAACAACCCAACCACCCCGGGGTCCCTTGTATCCCACTGAGATTGAACACAAATGCCTTTCAGAAAACATCTCCACGGGATGTGAAAACTGTATTTGCCAGCCAGGTTGTTAAGGAAACTGCTTGGGAATGTTCTTGTTGGGCTAGCCTGGACAAAGGTTGCAAAATCCCTTGCATTTGAATGTGGACTTTGAACCAAGGGGGGTGGGGGTGGGGAGTTAAGTAGTTCTGAAGTCAAGGAAGATGAGAGGGTGGGGGCGGGGCAGGGAGGCACAGTCCTCAGCGGAAAAGTTCCTCGCTGAATAGATCCCAAGTCCCAAGTTTTCTTGTGGTAGAGTAGGGCATTCTTGGGGGCCAGAGTGATAGTTCAGCGGGGGAGGGCGCTTGCCTTGCACGCGGCCAATCAGGGTTTGATTCCCAGCATCCCATAGGGCGCCCGGAACACCGCCTGGAGTAATGTCGAAGCACAGATGCAAGTAAGCTCTTGGCCATTGCTAGGTGTGTTCATCTCCCCCTCTCCCCCTTCCTCTTTTTTGTTTTTTTGTGTTTTGCTTTTTGGGTCACACCCGGCCTTGCACAGGGGTTACTCCTGGCTCTGCACTCAGGAATTACTCCTGGCAGTGCTTGGGGGACCATATGGGATACTGGGAATCGAACCCGGGTTGGCCATGTGCAAGGCAAACGCCCTACCTGCTGTGCTATGGCTCCAGACCCTATCCTGTGATTTTTTTCTGTTACCTTTTATATTAAATTTTTATTAAAATTTTTAAAATTTTTAAATTTTAATTTTTTAAATTATTATTCCGCACGGCAGAGCCTGGCAAGCTCCCCGTGATGTATTCGATATGTCAAACACAGTAACAACAAAGTCT